ACCGAGTCCAGAAATGGAATGGGCTGCAATTCACAAAAGGTGTGGTAACCCTTTACAGGGTTGTTACAGAGGGGATTCAAGCCTTGTACACAGGAGTGGGTGTATTGTGACCAAATACTGTTTAAAATTCTTCCCAATCTGTGAGATTCATAGCCTTATGGACTGTGATTTGGAGCACACCGACAGTGTGATGCCGGGCAGGTCAGTTTCATCTTAGCATCATTTTCTTCAGTTATATAATGGGGTATACAATAATCCCTATTATACTACTCTGTACAAGATTGATATTAACTTTTGTAAGCTAATCAAATGGGAGACATTTTTAATCTTATGTTATTGTATTTTATATTATGTTTTAATTTATTACTCTATACTATATGTTTTATATATTTATAAAAATAAATATGTATAATATATATTATGTATTATTTTTTATTTTTTATTTTTTTTAAGATTTTATTTATTTGAGAGAGAGAATGAGAGAGAGAGAGCATGAGAGGGGGAGGGTCAGAGGGAGAAGCAGACTCCCCGCTGAGCAGGGAGCCCAGTGCGGGACTCGGTCCTGGGACGCCAGGATCATGATCTGAGCTGAAGGCAGTCGCTTAACCAACTGAGCCACACAGGTGCCCCTGTGTATTATATTTTAATTCATTGTTACAATTAAGAACCCTGATAACTTCAGCCATATTGGAGAAGTAGAATAAATAGAAGAGAAGTAATAGCAACCCAGTGATTGTACATTGGCTCTGCCATCATTTGGGGAAGTTGGTAATTCAGGCAGGAGAAGTGGATTGGAAGCAACCTTGAGAGGGTATTCCATCCCCTGTTCTTGTTCCTAATCCAAACTGTGCAGATGAGTCACAGTTCCATTTTTAGGAGATTCCTTCCATATCCATCTTTGGGACCCCCGACCACTTCTGTCACTATTAAGTGTCATTTAAAACTTTAACGTCACTGTTCTGCTTCCAAGAAACACACATGTCATATGTATGCATTTATATGACTTAATATGTTATATACTTTATGTGCTCACGCATACACATATATACAAAGATAATTCAGGAACCCTATTGTGGGTGTACACCCACACACAGGTACATTCACACATACATGAGTACACATATGTGAATAAGCATGTTATTTATACATATGTTGCATATGGCTTGCAATAACACTGCCCCTCTAATACTGTTAAGTGCCTTGGTTTTTTGAAGGACTTTAGAAAACAAAGAGAAAAGACTGAATGACTGCAGATATAAGAGGCAATGTTACAGTAAGTTGCTATCCTAAAAGGAGAGAGTTGAGGGACAAGAGACCATTATTTTGGTAATGTCTTGCTTATCGATAATACTTGTGACCTTTATATGAAAGACTTCACAAATATAGATAAAATCCAGATATCCTTTAAGACTCCTTGAGTTGGATATGGAATTGTTGAATTGTATTGTACAGCTGAAACCAATAGAGTACTGTATGTTACCTACACTGGAATTAAAATAAAGTAGTAATGAGATCTTGCCATTTGCAAATGGAACTGGACGGTGTTATGCTGAGTGAAATAAGTCAGTCAGAGAAAGACATGTATCATATGACCTCACTGATATGAGGAATTCTTAATCTCAGGAAACAAACTGAGGGTGGCTGGAGTGATGGGGGGTGGGAGGGATGGGGTGGCTGGGTGATAGACATTGGGGAGGGTATGTGCTATGGTGAGCGCTGTGAATTGTACAAGACTGTTGAATCACAGATCTGTACTTCTGAAACAAATAATGCAATATATGTTAAGAAAAAAAGAAGAAGAAGATAGCAGGAGGGGAAGAATGAAGGGGGTAAGTCGGAGGGGGAGACAAACCATTAGAGACTATGGACTCTGAAAAACAGACTGAAGGTTCTAGAGGGGAGGGGGGTGGGGGGATGGGTTAGCCTGGTGATGGGTGTTGAGGGGGGCACGTTCTGCGTGGAGCACTGGGTGTTATGCACAAACAATGAATCATGGAACACTACATCAAAAACTAATGATGTAATGTATGATGATTAACATAACAATAAAAAATTATTTAAAAACGAACAAACAAACAAAAATAAAGTAGTAAAATGATTCTTTGAGCTGGAAAAGATTTTAGTGATTTTTCCAGTTCAAGCATTACATATTATCAATGGAGCCCAGAGAGAATAAAGGACTTGTCCAAGGTCATATAGTGAGTTAGTAATAAGACTGAACAAGGATTCAAGTCTTGTGACTTCCAGCCTAGCGCTCTCTCTGTTATCTGGGACTTAAACAGTTTTCTTCAGCAGAGGTTTTTCCTCTGTATCCTCAACAGCTAGTACAAAGTCCAGCCCATAATAAATGCTCAGTAAGTTAAATAAATGCACAATGGTATTGGTTGCAGTGGGCTTTGCACTTATTCCTGGGTTAATTGTAAAGGATATCTGTGTTTTAGGTCACATTGTTTCAGGCCAAGAGACACTCTGGGACCAAGTATGAACTATAGCTAGGGAGATGGTCCAAATTGAAAAACATGTTTTCATTTCCACTGTAACCTTCCTCAATCAGAGGGTGGTTTGCTTTTAGCAGTGGAATCTAGAACTCCTCTGGGAGCCCTAATCCAGTGGCTCTGCACTCATTCCTTTGCAAACTTGGGTTCGGGAGCTAGTATTTTCCTGTAGAAGAAGAGATTCTTCAAAGAAGTATTCATAATGACCCTATTTTACTAATTAACGTGAAAACTAGTTCTGAGGGTTGCAGCAGCACAAAAACTGCGGGGAAGTCCCTGTTCTAGAACACCCATGGCACTGGACGTGAACCCACTGGAATTGGATACAGGGCCTCCCTTCTAGGAGTGGATACTCAAAGACTGAATGGCACTCATAGTGCCATCCTTTCCGTGCATATAACAATCCTCAGTTTGCAGCAGGACAAGGCTGTTAGTGGGGCACCTGGGTGGCTCAGTTAGTTAAGTGTCCAACTCTTGATCTCAGCTCAGGTCTTGATATCAGGGTCATGAGTCTGAGCCCCACATTGGGCTCTATGCTGGGCGTGGAGCCTATTTAAAAAAAAAAAGGGCTGTTAGTAAATTATGTGTTCTGTTTATACAAATAAAATCCTGTGATATGGTAGAAAGAGTACTGGCTTAGAGGCCTTAGTTTTCTCATCTGTTAAGTAAAAGTAATGGTAGTATCTACCTCAAAACACGGCTGAGGTTATTCATTTAAATGAAACTTGCCAACACAGGCTTGGTTCATAGTAGGTACCTATTAAATAGTAAGATTCTTCCTTCATGGGCCTCCAATTGAGTGTTCTTCAGGCAAGTCACCTTCCCAGAACTCATTCTTGGAATGAAAGGATTGTACTGGGGTGGTTTTTAACAGTCCCTTCAAGCCCAGCATTTTGGAATCTTTTGACAAAGGGAAGGGAATAAGAGAGGAAAGGGGTGGGGAAGGAGGAAGGGAGGGTGGGGAGGGAGGGAGGAAGAGAGGGAAGGAGGAAAGAAGAAAAACAAAGGTCTTGCTGACCTGGCTACTACTGAATCTCCTACATAAAATAACCTACTATAATACATGTGTTTTCTGTGCCTGATCCATACATTTTAGGTTGAACAGGGAAAGAAGAGACAAGCTATAGCTGAATTTATGTGTTTTTCTCCCTGCTATCAAATAGCAATTGCTCTTCAATTTTTCTTCCTTTTCCTTACCACAAACATGCCTCCTCTGCCAAAAGAAGCCTCCCTAAAATCCCAGTCTCTCCCATAAACTAAAGCGCATCAGTAAATAAGAGGGAATTGGATAAAGAAAGGGGTGGAGTGAGGGGATGCACGAGCTCAGGCTGTCCCAGGGCTCCAAGCACGAGAAGGTCTGCATGTTTCGGAGCAGCAGGGTATGTATCTCTGTCTATTTCTGCTGGTGACTCTGCGTGCCTGTGGATCTCCCTGTTCCACTTGTGTATTCATTCAATGTTTATTGAGGACCTACTGTATGCCAGGCCTATGTTAGCATCAAGGAGGCAAAATATTGAGTAAAATCTGAGCTTTTGAGTGGCCTTCCACGTCTTTCTTGGAACAGCTGTGATCCTGAGGCTCTCTGGGTCTCTGCATGTGTGTACGTGTGTGAGCTTGTTTCTTTGTATCTGTGACAACTCCAGATGAGCACGACAGCAAGTGTTTTACTTCTGCTGGCTTCAAAGGACTTCCTCTCACCTGTTGTGATTCACTTCATGAAGAGTAAGCTTTATCTCTGATTTTTATAACCTGCAGGATTGGGGATATGATCACTATCAATTTAAAGACAATTAGAAATCTCATGGAGTTCTCTTTTATAGAAGTTTTACCTGTATTTTTATTATGAAAAATAAGCACTGTATTGGCTTGAGTATGATCCTTTGAATGACTACAGGGGTCAGGAGGTAGAAACATTGCCTAAGTCCAAGTCTCTGCTGTGTCATGCTAAAGGAGTGATAATTTCTGCCATTGATCACTTTCCCATGGACATTCTTACCTTTTTTTTTTAAGATTTTATTTTTTTTTGTCACAGAGAGAGGGAGGGAGAGAGCACAAGCAGGGGGAGCAGCAGGCAGAGGGAGAAGCAGGCTCTCCGCTGAGCAGAGAGCCCGATGTGGGGCTCGATCCCAGGACCCCTGGATCATGACCTGAGCCCAAGGCAGACACTTAACTGACTGAGCCTCCCAGGTGTCCCATTCTTAGCTTTTAGTAAAGGTAGAACATATTATTTTTATAAACCAGTGAGTAGTCCTTGTCTTAAAGGAAGTATCAGCAGGACCTCAGTTGTTCATCCCTACAAAAACACCTATGAAAACCAAACAATACAGCATTGAATTAAACCAAGCTGTGTGATTCTGTGTGATCAAAATTGTTTAGGGCCATTCTCTGTCCACTTCTCTCATCCGGCAAGATATATCTTTATGCCCTTTCTGCCTAGAAATACTAAAGGAGAGAGACTCTGGAAATGCATTAATGGGGCATCTACTGTTCTTTTTGTTCTCCCAGGGAAACAGAAGTACCTGTGTGCCAGCAGAAATGATTGTACCATCGATAAATTCCGAAGGAAAAATTGTCCATCTTGTCGCCTCCGGAAATGCTATGAAGCAGGGATGACTCTGGGAGGTATGATACTTTTCTTCCTTTTTCTTTTTCTTCCTCTCCCTCCCTCATTCTCTCATTCTCTCTTTAAACCAGATTTTCCTCTTTGGTGCTTCTGAGGTGGCCAGCTCTACTCTAGATACAAACTGACGCCTTCATCCGCAACATGACCATCAGCCAGTTGGTGCCTTTCTTTATCCTTAACCATGTCACACCCCACTCTGGGGCTCAGCACAGGAGCAGGAGGTGTGAGGCAAGGATCAGGACCCATCGGGGGTCAGTGAGTGTGGAGGTGATTATGAAGGATTCCCCAGGGGACACAGTGATACTGGCCCTATGTTGTTGCATGATGAGCAGGATGAGAGAACTACAGAATCCAGAATAATCACAGGTACAGAATGACCCAGGCACAGGCTGGCCCTGAACACCCAGGAATATCCTCAGTTAACTATCCCTATATTGTAGGGTCGGCCACCTGGAATGAAAAGCTGCTTCTCTTTGGAGCCTGTGACTAGGCTGCCACGCAGAACCAGTTTCCTATCCCGTATCTCCCACAGTGGAGCAGGCCTTTTAATCATTTCCCATTATTTGCAAATCTATTGATAACTTCCAAAAGCATTTTCTCGTAGCACAGTAGCTTGACAGAAGGAAGATACAGCTTTTTCAAGTGCAGCCGTGCATCATAAGGCTTCTGTCCCCTAGTCTGTGTCTACTGTGAGCACTGTCACCATTCCAGAAAGGCTTGGCTTACACTTCTATTTTCCCCCTCCAAATTCCTCATTTCTTCATGTTTACATCTGCTCAGTGGCAGGGGGTACTCCCCGCTGCCTGCTGCTTCAAAAAAGAAGCACCTTTCATGAAAAAAAAAAAAAAAAAAAAAAAAGCAGGCTCATTAGTCTACTTTGATTTGTAAATGGAACTTGAAGAAAAGCAAGCTCTTTTCCGAATGCCTGATACTATAGCCTCCTACCTGATTATTCATTATCAGCCTGGAAAACCCAAGTTCCTAGATTCCTGCCATTTCCCCTCCCCCTCTCAAGGCTCATTTAGAGTCCTTGTCCATCTCTGGCTTTCTGCAAGGTGCTCAATACCTTGTCTGCCTATGTACATGTTTATGGAGACCAACTTGTTTTCTATGTGTGGGTCTTCATGTTGATAACTGTATCCCCCCACCTCTTACAGGGCAACAATAGTCTTTAAACAGACCAAAGTACTACAAATGAATTGACTCAGGGTCAGTTTGAGACAGTTGCAACAGAACCATCTCAAGTAGTGTCTAGTACTCCCAGACATCGCAGGCAGATGCTGTGTGAGTTTTCCAGGCAGCTGCATTAAATGAGACTAATACCAGAGAAAGACCAACCTTGTTCTTATTTGCTTGGTATACTCCAGAGAAATCCTACAATTGTGGTCTCTAGTGGGGAGGAAGAAGCAGGACTGGGATGGAGAAGTGTGGAGGGAAAGCCAGGAAAGGTGACAAAGGGAGTGATAAGAGGAAGTTTTCTTCATACGAATGTTGCAACCCTGTGGTGAGAGTTCTGATACACTCAGCTCTCAATTTTTTAGCCCTCTGTGAATGGTGTATAAGAGATGGGGGCTCCCAGGTAGAGAACCCCTTGGTTTTTCATCTGCTGCTATGAACTGTAAGCTTGCTTTGCCACAGGTGAAGTTTAATGGTAACAAAAGTTCTCCTAAAGTTTGGGTCCAAATCTTAAAATTAGTTCATGTTTCAGCCAACATCCTCCATTATAAAACAGTCCATGACATTATTATAGTGAACCCCTTTTGAAAAGGAGTAATTTCACTACTCCCTCTATCAGTGAGGCATAAATCTGTGAATTCATTTCATGGAGAGAGCGGTACACTAAGTTTTCAAATTGATTTATTGGCTAGAGTGCTCAAATTTGAAATGGGCTTGGTCCCAACACAAGGAAAAGAAGGTAAGAAGTGCTGTGAATGGCTTTCATTGCAGATCTTTTCCTGTGATAGTTATTGAGTGTCAGTTGTATACAAACGCACCATACTAGGCAATAGAGCTCGGGCTGCCAACTTGAAGGAAGGTCTGCAAGATACAAGGATTCTTGATATTGTGTATGTGGTCTTGCCTTTGGAGTCAGGCAGACCTAAGCTAAAGGCCCAGCTCCGTTATTTACTGTGCCCCTCTAAGCCTCAATTTCTTCATCTGTAATCTAGTGGTATCACTCTGTGACGTGAACGTGATGAACGTGAACATCCTTGGTAATTGACAAAGTGCTTAGACAAATGTGAGGGCTTACTATGACAGTGAGGTCACTAGTAATTTAGATGGTGAGCACTTCCCAGTTGGCTTTTACCCTGAGTTACTTGGCATGCCCTATAATATGTAACAATTCCAACAGGCAGAGAGAACATCAGCAGAAATCACGCTTGATCACCTCAAACTAAAAGTACCATCAAAATCCTGTTTGGAAGCCGATTCTAGTCGTTAAGGGAGTCATATATAATGTTCAAGTACCATGTCAGTAACATCCCAAGTGTTTACCCACTTAAACACCATTGTTTGAAAAACAAACCTTTCCATCTTCATAAACTTATCTTCACATTCCCTGATTCTCTGCTGCAAACCCTTCTCAAGTTTATGGTTAACTTGCAAATTCAGTGTACACTACACCTTTACTCAAAACAATGGGAAGAAGAAAGAAAACATAAATGTAGAGTGGCCCTTCTAAATACTTGAGCAATAGACTTCCCTTTTCATAAGATTTGGGTTTAGCATAGACATTCTGATCACACTGAAGGAGAATTCATATAACTTTGTTTTATTCTTCCCATCACTCAACTCAAAATGGTATAATATATTCTAAAACGGCAATGAGGAATGTGGCCTTGAGCAAGTCCCTTCTCCCCTCTGAGGCTCAGTTTTTCCCATCATAAAATTGGGATAATGAGATTGACCAAGGACCTCTCTGGCACAATCATTTTGTGATTCTGTGTCTAAAGTCACAGAAAAAGCCTATCAATCAGTCTTTTTTTGGATTACATCTCCACTGCCCTCAGAAGTATAGGCTGTCTAGAGGTGAGTGTTTTGACTTGCCTGATAATTTTAGCTGCCTCAAGCTACACCTGTGTAAGATATATTACGTTTCTCAAAGTAGACTGGATGTATAGATTATTGAGGGAGTGGAGGGCAGAAGGGTTATCACCTTGTATCTTAAAGAAGCTGGCACTCTGTAGCTGATGTTTGCTTAGTGTTGAGGCCTCAAGGCTTTCTCTGTAGTGTTCCATCTACTCTTTGGTGATGGGATCTCCTTAACTCAGAGATATTTAAAACACATAGCTTTTTCCTTTCTCCTTCTAGGCTTATCTACATGTTCATTGCTTCTTTTATTAGCAGCTCTTGGTGTTTCTTGGTGTTTTCCAAGGGTGGTTGGGTTCTCTGGGTGGGTCCCTTAAAGACTACCTTCAGGCTATTAATTGCCCATTCACAACAAGGATGGGCCTTTCTTTGTACCTCATTCATTTCTGGCTGCTTTTGAAAAGCTACACATTGCTAATTGCTTCAAGAATCTATTTAAGATTTTATTTATTTATCTGACAGAGAGAAACATAGCGAGAGAGGGAACACAAGCAGGGGGAGTGGGAGAGGGAGAAGCAGGCTTCCTGCAGAGCAGGGAGCCCGATGTGGGGCTCGATCCCAGGACCCCAGGATCATGACCCGAGCCGAAGGCAGATGCCTAACAACTGAGCCACCCAGGCGCCCCTGCTTCAAGAATCTAAACCTCTTGCCTACTTTTAATGTAAGAAAATACTTAGAAATATAACTGTCCCAGAAAAGGACCTTCCCTCTAGTGAATTAACTGTGGCTTTTTCACAGCCCATAATTAGAGTAAGTGCACAGCCCTCTCTCACTTTTCTCAGTACTTCCCAAGGATATACTTCCAGTTTCCAAGATGTAATGAGAAAGAAAGAATTGCCCTGACCTGCCATCTTCTCTCCGAACCCTTTCCTCCTTCTTACTTTCCTTCCTATTCCTCCCCTAACATTTTTTTTTTTTTGCATTTTGTAACTCTTGAGTTCTCAGCTTTTAATAAATGGCATTAGCCCCTCCTTTTATTCCTTCCTCTCCTGGACCCTGGAAGATGGTAGGCCTTTCAGGAATTTCATGTAGCAGCCAAACCCCAGAAGAGGAAAAGAAACCTGGAACATGTGAGAATCTAAAGTGTTCAGCGTTTTCTTCAGAGGTTACTTTAGCACATTTGAGAAGTCTCTTTCCTACTAGAAGACTGAACTTTACATCTGAGACTCAAAACTGTTAACAGACCTGCAGGTTTTAATAGCCTCCAGGATTCTCTAGTTGGGAGGATGGCTTAGGGAGCCCATGGCCATGATCTGATGTCATCATGGACACTGTGAACACCCTTGTGGTGTCCAGTGTTGAAGACCGTCTTGAAGCCAGCTCTTTCATCATTCTCCATGCTTGAAAGCAGCCCTGCATTGGTACTTCTGGATCACATGTCCACACATGTCCAGATGCAAGAGAGTGATTCCAACACTGAAACACTATTCACAGCATGGTTCTTCAGGAGACAAATTTCACAGCATTTATCCATCCATCTATTTATCTGTTCATCCTTTCAGCCAGCCAACTAGCTAGTCCTTTTGTTTTTCCACCCATTCACTCATCTATTTATCCATTTGGCAAATATTTATTTATTGAGTGCGAACGATGTGCCAGACCCTATGGTAGGCATGTTGGGGGAGCAGAGATGATTAGGATAAAATCCCTGACCTCAAAGAGTTAAACAGGCAACAGACAGTGATAATGAATACATCTTAACCTTAAAGGATGAAGAGGAAATGACTGGGAAGAAGTTGAATGAGATAGAAGGGACGGGGCATTCAAGGCAAAGGGCACAGTTTGAATAAAGGCTCAGAGACATAAGAAAAAATGTATTGAGGGTTTGAGGAATAGCAAGTCATTTAATATGACCAGATCTGGGGAAATGGGGGAGGTAAGGTAAAACCACATTGAAAATGGACTTAGT